GCCAGTTTATCTAAAAGGCCCTGAAATTTTTGCCCTTGTACGGTTAGAGTATACATGCGTCGAGTTTCTCAGATAACCTGAAGAAGGTAGGCCTGGTCTGAGGATTGCAATCCTCATTGTCCTTTGGGCTCTGTAGCAAATACCTGTCCTTTTAAGACTGCAGGTAACAGCAAAGCTGTGCCACAAGGCCACATTCAGGAAGCTGAATAACTGAAGAGGTCGAAGGAATAACCTTGATCTCACCTGAATAACCTGCATTTATTACCTGTGGGGTCACTATCAATCCTTTTAATGACATAGGAGGCCTTCCCAAGACTAATCCTACTGTGCTCTGTGGCAAAGGTCCATAAACTACTGTAGGAGTCACCCGTGGACCCCTACCTGAAGGTGGGTCTGGAGTCCGGTCATGCGCTACCCGAGGTTGTCCGCTAGAGATCTTGGATCGTTTGTGGCCCGCAAATATTCTGTCTGGTTGGGTGTGTCCATAGAGACACTATAGCTGGCCCTACTATGTAGCGGGCCAGGCTGGTCCCCTTCCGTTTCCCGGGGCAGAAGAGGCTTTCCCTCTACATCTGTGCCCGCACGCACTAGCCCAACGTCTGCCTCTCTGACACGGGGACATATTCCCGGCACCTGTGGATTGTTGGGCATGTGACAGTCCCGAGCAGTGTCCCACCCTGCCGCAGTTAAAGCAACTACCCTTTGGTTTCTTTTGGATTATTTTCTTAAAGACGGTGCCCAGAGCTATACCCTGAATTTGCAACTCCCCAGTATCCTGACATAGTCTAATATAATCAGTCACTCTGCCCTTTATCTGAGATGGGCTGATGCTTCTTCTTCTTCTTTTTTGGAGAGGTTTTGGCTATAGGGTGTGTGCGCTCACCAGACAGACAGAGAGAGACAGAAAGTGAGAAATCACCCCCTAGAGGGGATGGTCACACCGCAATCCCTTCTCCTCCATTCTCCTCTCGGGATCTTGGGCACACACGCACACGTGCCTGGCTTGAGTTTTAAGCCACCAGGTCCCGGACGCGAACAGCAGTCGATTACATGGGAGTCCAACGACATAACCATTACGCTAACTGCTGGTCCCCCTTCTTCTTCTTTTTTTTTTTTTTTTTAAGAATTATTTAAATTGTATTTATTTGTTTTAATTGAACCAGAGTGAGAGAAAGCAAGAAAGCAAGCTGCCAGGTCCAGGATTTGAACCGCAGTTAAACACGTAGGAGTCCAACGCCCTTTGCCACCTGCCAGCCTGAGGTGATACATTTTCAAAAGCCAATTGTTTTGGGGAACCAGCAGTTAGCGTAATGGCTATGTCGCTGGACTCCCACGTAGTCAACCGCGGTTCACGTACCGGACCCGGTGGCTTAAAACTCACACCGGGCGCGTGTGCATGCGTGCCCAAGATCCTGAGAGGAGAATGGAGGAGAAGGGATTGCGGTGTGACCATCCCCCCTGGGGGGTGATTTCTCCCTTTCTGTCTTTATGTTTCTCTCTGTCTGTCTGGCGAGCGCACGCGCCCTATAGCGAAAACCTCTCAAAAAAAAAAAAAAAAAGTCAATTGTTTTAACAACATTTTCCCTGCTTCCAGGTCAGAAATCGCCTGCCCTAAGGCTTGTGCCAGATATGATACAAAATCTGAGTAGGGCTCGCTGGGCGCCAGGCAGATACTCGACAAGTTCCCTGACCTCTGTCTTTTCCTGGGAGTCTCCTACAACACCTCAAACAGATATTTCTCTGTTGCTATGCTTGTAGGGAGTACCCGAACTGATGGACAGTATCAGAGAAGTCCCCTGTCCCTGTCAATACTTATAACATGACAGGTACCCCATGTTGATGGTTTTGACTTGCCTGTTCTTGGGCTTCCCCAAACTAATCTGCCTTCCATAAAAGACAATCACCTCCTTCCAAGCACGCCTTGCCTAACACCTGCCGACCATTAGGCGGACGTGCTGACTGCTTAGCCGTTTCTAATACAGCCAGCGTACACGGCCCCAGGGGCCACACCACCCACAAGCCGATTTTAGCTCTTTTAGAATTCTGAAGGACCCAGGCTCACGTTGGCGTATTGTTTGTCCCGGGTTATTAGGCTCTGGGACCGCCATGGCTGGACATGTTAGTTTAAATCCCGAAACATCTTCCCCTCTCCACCACACCATGTAACGCTCTGAAGAGGGGTTAAGTGCAGACAAAGCTTTCTTCCCTTGTATATTCTTCCCACGGGGGCGCGGGGGGGCTCCAAAGGAAGAGCAGTGGGCCCGGGGAAGCACAGGGCCAAGGGGCTGTGGCTCCCGTCCTTATTTAACTGAGGTCTGTCAGGAGCCACGATCTCAAGTCTGCCTAGATCGGGAGACTCATTTCCACCCTCGCTGCCGCTCTGCTGTCCCCCGTTTCAGGACCAGCTCCTGGCTCTCCAGGCGGCGAGGAGGTCTACTTCTCTGGGGTATCTGATAAACGAGTTTGGAGCAACCTCCCAGCTCCTCTGGAGGGTCTCGCCTCAAATGCTCCTTAACTAAACTCCATGACGAGCAAGCCAAACTGGGAATCACAGTGGTCTCCGCCGCGTCTCACTCCAGGCTTGTCCCAGGTCTTGTCATTTCATATTCCCTGTTCCGGGAACCAGGGGCCTGTTCCCTGCACGTCAAAGACGTGCCGTAGCTGCTCGCTACTTTCACTGCCCCTCGCCTTAGCATGCAGAATGCCTTTCGGACGTACGTATGTCTTGGACAACCGTCCCGTTTCACACCCGACTCTAACGCCCTCTACCTTTCAGTTCCCGGCCTGGATTCCAGGTGTCCACTGACCCTTTTTATTTGCAGTTCTTCCATACTCGGGATCCTGTTCGTTTATTTGCCCACGCTGGGCGCCAGCTGCCTCAGCCTTGAGGTAAGCGGCCGTGGAACCCCAAGTGGAAGAGGTGGGTTGAGAAAACGCACACACAAGGGAAGGGAAGTGGGAATCTGGTGGACGGGGCGTCTCCGATGCAGAACGCGCAGCACTGACCTTCCCACATTGATTCTTTCACGCGGCAACGGGGGAGGGAGAAGCAGGAGGTAAACCGGGTGCTTTCTGTGGTCGCGGCTGTGGAGCATCGTGGGTCCTGTGGTTCTTGGCTGACACGCAGCTGCCTTTGATCTACACGGCCCCGGGCGCACCAGCAGATGATGTTTTTTGTTAGAATTTTCGCTTGCCGTGCAGCGTCAGCACAAAGACCATATCTACTTGTTTTTGTTTTGGAGAGGTTTTTGCTATAGGGCGCATGTGCTCGCCAGACAGACAGAGAGATAGAAAGCGAGAAATCACCCCCCAGGAGGGATGGCCATGCCGCAATCCCTTCTCCTCCATTCTCCTCCCGGGATCTTGGGCACGCACACACACACATGCCCAGCGTGAGTTTTAAGCCACCGGGTCCGGGACACGAACTGCGGTCGGCTATGTGGGAGTCCAGTGACATAGCCATTACGCTAACTGCTGGTCCCAAGACCATATCTACTTTTAAAGGTTGCTAGTGCTTTGTCCAGATCTGCTGCTCCCTCACGTAGTAGTCATGATTTTTTTTTTTTTTAAAGTAAACCACTTAACTGAGTTAGGCAATAAGATTTTAAAATGTTTATTTTTCTTTTATGGTTATTTACATCATTTAAATCATTTTACATTAAAAAAAATTTAAGGGGCCAACAGGTGGCATGGTGATTAAGGTGTTCTACTCCCACGTGGTTGATTATGGTTTGAGTCCCGGATCCAGCTGCCTGACAATCATTTCTGGGCATCTGTGCATACATGCCCAAAATCCTGAGAGGAGAATGGAGAAGGGATTGTGGCATGGGCATCCCCACTGGGGGATGATTTCTCACTTTCCCTCTCACTCTCTTTCTCTGAAATAGGACTCTCACCCATGAAACTTTAAAACACAGAAAGTGCATAGAAGACATTTGCATTCACGGGAATGTGTAACATTTTAAATACGCAGGTGGCTTCGTCTACAGCATACTGGACCGCAACCCCAGCAACCACATGGAGCTGCGGGTCTAGCTCGCTAGGTCGCCTGAAAAGAGAGAGTATATGCGGGTGCTGGAGGGCTGGGAGGGGGACAGCAGCGTGAAGGGACCTGTCAGGGGGCACTCTATCACTCCTCCATGTGCACACACTTTATCATTAAAAAGAAAAAAATTAGCATACGATCTAAGTGAGAATGTGCAGAACCAGGCTCCCTGACAATCTGAGACCGACTGAACTCTTTCAGGAAACCTTCTGGAGGCTCTTTCGCAGAAGACATAAAAATAAAATATGTTCACTTTCTTCCATCCAGCCGACTCATCTTTTGCCACTGGGTACAGGTAAACCTGATAGTCATGGGCAGAGAAACTGTTTCTTTTTGGGAAAGAAAATAAACAAACAAAATAAAGAGACAAAAAAATTTTTGAGTTTTTGGTATTCACATTTTGGGCTCAAGGTCACTCTGAAACTTGGATCAATTCTTCTCTTTGAGTTTTAAGAGATATTCCTTAATCCTTATTTTCAAAGAGTTTGACCGGGGTCAGCAAGGGGCATGGTGGTTGAGGTGCTGGACTTCCATATGGCTGACTGTGGTTTGAGTCCCGGATCTGGTGGCTTGCTTTCTCACTTTCTCTCTCTGGTGAGTACTTATGCTCTATAGCAAATTAAAATAATAATAATAAAAAAAAATAAATCAAAAAAAAAAAAAAAAAAAATTTTTTTTTTTTTTTTTTTTTTGAGAGCAAGGGAAAGTGAGAAAGGAAGCCACCAGATCCAGGACTTGAACCTTGGTCAGCCATATGAGAGTGTCCATAGCCTTAACTATGACACCACTTGCTGGCCCCCAAAAATAAATAATTCTTAAAAAAGTAATAAAACATTTGAAAAGATAGTTCCAGGGAATTTCTATACTAGAAAATGAGTTTAAAAAGAATTGAAGAAGGAAAAGAAACACTTCTCAGCTGCCTATCCCACGGTACAACTCTTACGCAAAAGGCACCTCGTCTCCCTCTCTGCCTCTCTCCCTCTCACTCACTCTCTTCCAAATTTCCCAGTTCTTCCCTGGTTCCCGAGCAGCCTTCACGATGTGCTCCAACAAGCAGGAAAAGTCTACTCCTCTCCCGTCCCTGGAGGAGAGAGAAGAGAACTGAGTCCACGCACCACGGAGAGAGACCGTCTGTCCTTGTCCTCCGGCCCCGTGTCTTACCTGGACTTTTTCCATTCTCTGTGTCCTTCCGCTTCTAGACACAGGCCACCAAAACCAACACGGAGGGAAGTGTGCAGACAGCCAGGACAACCGCGGGGGTGACAGCAGCCCCCGGCAGAGCACCCCGAGCTTGAGGGCCTGGGGACCCCAGGAAATGGGCTGTGACTATGCCCAGGGGGCCCCTCCTGACCCCACCTCCAGCTCGCTGAGGCCTGAGGATTCTGGTTCCTTACCGAGAACGACAGGGACGGTGGTGTTCAGCCCACCGTGTCCCACATGGCAGGTGAATCTCTCCTCCTCTCCAGGCTGGGTCTGAGTGGTCAGCCAAGTCTGGTAGGTCCCGTCCCCACTGGGCAGGATGGCCTCCAGCCCAACGGTCCCCTGGGGCACGGGCTCCCCATCCCGAAGCCAGGTCAGGGTGGCACCCCGGGGATAGGAGTTAAAGGCCTGGCACGTCAGGGTGACCCTGCCCAGTGGGTTCTGCCTTCGGATCACATTCACCAGCGGGGAATCTGGGGGAGACAAAGCAGAGAGCAGTGAGGACGAGGACTCCACCCTCCCCCGCACACCAGAAACCCAGCAGGAAGCAGCCCGCCCCTGGAAATCCCCCAGGGCACCTCGGCTTCTGCCACCCCTCCCTCAGGCCCCCTTGGAGAGCTTGAGAGGATGAAGGGGAGCTCTCGGGCCACTGGGGCTGCCTTCGCAGGCCTGGGGAGGCACAGCACAGTGCAAGGGAGTGCAGGGGAACTGTGGGCACTGACGGGCCGAGGGCTGCTCTAGTCCACAGGGGCTGCAAATCCACTCCTCTTCCCATGACAAGATCAGCCCTCAGGCTCCGGGGAGCCACGGGTGTGCCCATCAGCCTGGCCAGCTGACTCTGGCTCAGAACCTTTGCCCTGAATGATCCCTGATATTTCTCTCGGCGGCCTCTAGGTGTCTGCCTCTCTCAAGGTCCATGCTCCAGAGAATGAGGCTGGGGAGAAAAGGTTTTCTCCTGCCGTCTGTGGCCTGAGGTCTGAGAGCCAGGCCCACCTCTGGGGTCCTCGATTCCCTGGCAGATGGACCGGGCAATGGCTCTAGACAAGGCCCCTGGCCCACCCACATGGGTATGCCCTTAGGCGTGGCACCTCCAGCAAGCCAGAGCCCAGCACCTAAGCTTGGCAGGGCAGGGGAGCCACTCCAAGTAGCAGGAAGGTTCTCCATGTCAGGAACAGGGGTACACTCGGTGACGGGCACCTCCTCGGGCTCGGTACCTGCACTCCCCAGGCCTCTCAGGGAAGCCAGGTGTCTCCGGAGTTGGGCAGGACAAGTCTCCTGCAGGTAAACCTTAACCAGATCTGCCTGGGGGCTGTGTCTCTCCCAGAACTTCTTGATGCGCTGGGCGGAGGGCAGGGTCGCTGTCCACGTGAGAGTCTCCAGGTCAAAGGTGAGGAAGTCCTGCCCATTGTAGCCCAAGCGCCAGAAGCCTCCAGTGCTGAGGTTGTCCTGGAGCTCACAGCCCAAGGTGGCCTGGAGGGAGTGAAAGCCTGGGTCCCCCCAGGTAGTGACCTGTCACCTCGCTGTTCCTGGCCCTCCGCACCCACTGGGACTGCAGCCCAGAGGGGATGTCTCTCCTCTACCCAGGTTGGGGGTGCCTGGTGCAGTCTCAGGGAGGCCTGGGGTCTCTACTGACTTCAGCCTTGCTGGGCCTCGTTCCCCTGCACCCCCACCTACGGCACCAGCACTCACTTACCCCTGTCCTGCCCCTGCTGGCTCATGATGGCTGCCAGGGTCCCTCTGAGCTGCTGCTCTTTCTCCTTCAGGTCTTCAGTCTCTCTTGCCCAACTCTCTGCTCCCGGGTATCTGCTCATCCTTGGACCCCAGGGCTCTGCCCGGTGGCCCTCGCTGTCATAGCGCAGGAAGGGCTCATCATCGACGTACCCCAGGGCCAGGAACTGGGGCCTCCGAGGCCAGTCCGGGGGCAAGGCCATGAGGTCATAGCGGAGAGTGTGGGTTCCTGAGGGAGGAGGAGACACAGGTGACGGCCCTGTCCTGCCCTGCCCTACCTGGCCCTGCCCTGCCCTGCCCTGCGGGGCCAAGGTTTCGTGGTTGCCCTGCCTCCAGTTACTTAAATGAGGCTCTTCTGGGCTGCCGCCCGAGGAGGCTGAGGATGTGATGAACAGAGAAAGAGGGCCGGGCAAGGAGATGGGGATGGAGAGAGATCAGGGAGCCTGAGGAGTAGGGGAGAGGCCAGAGTGTATTCAGGCAGGGGCAGAGTGACAGGGAGTCGACTGGACAAGGGGAGACTAGAACATCTGAACCGAAGTCTCTGAAAAGCAGAACTGAATTTCCGGGCTCTCGGCTGGACCCTTGGGATGAAGGTCCACATCGCGGCAGCTGAGCCTTAGAACTGCAGACCCTGTGCCGGCCCACGTCGGTCCTTGTGGAATCGAGCAATCGCCCCGGTCCTATAATCGGCCAACAGTGAAATGAGAAAGCGGCTGGGGAGAGGACCCAAACCACAGCCCCAGTGGGTATGCCGCACACAACGGCCCGGATGTCATGAAACTTCTGGGTACTCTAAGGGGTGAGATATATCACTGGGGCCAGCTGGGGGCGTGGTAGTTAAGGGCGCTGAACTCCCACACGGCCAACTGGAGGAGTCCGACCTGGCGGAGCTCCAGGACCCGTCTGAGCCCCTTGACCTTTGAGCACCACTTCCGGTTGGTTCAGTACGTTGGCAAGGCCACTACTGTACGCCCCCCGACCTGGGAACAAGCTTGGGTCAATTAGCATGTCAGCAAGGCTGTTTGCTATTCGCTCCGGGACTGTGGTAGCCTTGCTGGGAAGTGACCCCCCCTCTGACTCCCTGATATACTACTATAAAAGAATTATATAGTTCTCTCATACATCTGTGTGGTAAGATTTCCCAAAAGTCCCCCGACCGCTCCCCTTTAC